GACAAACCACTTTTTGTACATCTTCTTCTACAATTGCGGCTTTGATGATGAATCATATGTAGATCATCTTCTTTTAGAATTACGACTTTGATAATAAACCAAACATGAAACATGTTTTTTGCAGTTGCAGCTTTGACGACGAACCACACTTGATATTTCTTCTTTTGTAGCTTCAAAATTGATGATGAACCACATTTGGTGCGTTTTCTTTTGCAATTGAAGGTTTAGCGATGAACCAAACTTAGTACATTTTCTTCTACAATTGAGGTGTGGCTCATCTTATTTTAGAGTCGTGGCTTCGATGAAGAACTACACATTAAGTAACTTTTTTTTTGCAGTTTCGACTTCGACAAGGAACCACACTTGACATCTCTTCTTTTGTAGTTTCAACTATGATGACGAACAACACTTTGTGCCTCTACTATTGTAGTTTCACCTTTTATGAAGAACCACCCTTGGTGCCTCTTCTTTGGAGGATCATGTAGAGAATTTCTTCAAGCGTACGCAAAATATATATGAAACTCTAATGGCCTTCTTCTAACATTTGTATAGGACTTTTGGCGACTTTGTGAAGTCTTCAACCTTTCTTGAATAAAATTCACCTTCTCCATAGCTTGGTGAGATAAATCTTGCCTTATCAACCCTGCTTCGCCATCTTTGAACCACCCACTAGGAGATCTACATCTTTTCCCATAAAGATCTTCATATGTCTACATTTAGATGCTCGAATGATAACTATTGTTTTAAGCGATCTCAATGAGAGATACGTGATCATCCTATTTTTCTTTGAAGTCGATCACAAAATCTCTCTACATATCTTCCAACGTCTGGATAGTACGCTTGGCTTGTCCATCTGTCTGAATATGAAACAGTGCTCAAATTCACCTTCAAACCCAAACCTTTCTGGAAAGATTTCCAGAATTGTGCAGTAAATTGTGCACCTCTATATGAAATAATAGAGATCGGAACTCCATGAAGTATTACTAGTTCCGGAAGGTACAAATTAGCATAATGCTCATCCAAATAGGTAGTCTTGACGGCAAGAAAAGGGATGAATTTGTCATTTTGTCGACAATCACCCATATGGAAATATGTTGCCTTCACGATCTTGGCAAGCCTGTGATGAAATCCATATTAATCATCTCTCACTTCCATTCCGGAAGCTCTATATTCTGAGCTAAACCTCTAGGCTTTTGGTGTTCCACTTTCACTTGCATTCAATTTTAACACTTGGAAACAAAGTCAACAATATCTTTATTCATGCCTTCTCACCAATATACCTCTCTCAAATCACGGTACATTTTGGTGGAACCATGATGAATGGAATATCTGGAGCTATGATCCTCCTCCAAGATCCTCTCTTGGAGTCATCCACCTTAGGTACACATAATCTACCTTGATACTTCAGCAAATAATATCCCCCTTGTTCAAAGGCCAATGCTCTTTGGTTATGGACACTTGCTTTCAAATTAAGCGAAATAGGGTCTTGGCCATGATTATCTTTCACCTCTAACACTAACTATCATTCAGCCCCATTTGTTATCATTATGCCTCCTTCTGTGGAATCTATAACCCTGACTCCCAAACGTGTAATTGTGTGCACATCTTTTGCTAACTCCCTATTTCGTTCTTCGACATGGGAAGTAATTCCCACGGAAAACCTGCTTAAGGTATCAGAATCCACATTAATCTTACCTGGGTGGTAAAGAATACTCAAGTCATAATCCTCGAGTAATTCCAACCATCTTCTCTGTCTGAGGTTGAACTCTTTCTGAGTGAGCACATATTGGACGCTCTTGTGATCTGTGAATATATATACATATAAATAATGACGCCATATCTTCAACGTTAACACCACTGCAGCCAATTCTAAGTCATGAGTTGGATAATTCTTCTCATTAACTTTCAATTGTCAAGAGGCATAAGCTATAACCTCGCCATTCTGCATTAATAGACAGCCCAAGTCAACTCTAGATGCATCACAATACACCACAAAGCCTTGAGTACCCTCTGCTAAGGTCAAAATCGGAGCGGTAGTCAATCTCCTTTTCAACTCCTAAAAGTTTTGCTCACAAGCTTCAGACCATTGAAACTTGATTGTCTTCTGAGTTAATTTTGTCAAAGAGGAAGACATAGATGAGAATCCTTCAACAAATCTCCTATAATACCCAGCCATATCCAAGAAACTCCTTACATCTGTTAGAGATGTGGGTCTAGGACAACTCTGTGTGTCAACTTTAATACCTTCACAGAAACAATATGGCCTAAGAATTCTACCGATATAAGCCAAAACTTACATTTGGAGAACTTTTCATACAACTTCTTATCTTTTAAAGTTTAAAGAACAACATATGGATGACTAGCATGATCTTCTTCATTCCTTGATAAATCAGTATGTCATCAATGAAAATAATGAGAAACAAATCCAAATAAGGTTTGAAGACTCTGTTAAAAAGATCCATGAACGCTGCAGGTGTGTTAGTCAAACCAAAGGACATACACAAAAATTTATAATGCCCATACCTTTCTCTAAAAGTTATTTTGGGAATATCACATTCCCTAACCTTTAACTGATGATATGCTGATATGAGGTCAATCTTGGAAAAGCAAGAAACACCCGAAAGTTGATTGAAAAGATTATCTATCCTTGGAAGAGGATATTTATTGTTAATGGTCACCTTATTTAATTGAAAGTAATCTATAAACATCCTAAGAGACCCATCATTCTTCCTAACAAACAAGACCGGAGAGCTCCAAGGTGAGACACTTGGTCGAATGAAGCCTTTATCTAATAGATCTTTCAGTTTCTCTTTTAATTCTACTGGTTCCATTCTGTATGGTTGAATAGAGATAGGACGAGTATCTGAAATGACATATACGCCAAAGCTTATGTCTCTTTCAAGAGGTACTCCAGGTAGATCATCAGCAAAAACTTTTGGAAACTCACTGACTATAGTAGCTGACTGAAGGGAAGGTATATAAACACTTGAGTCATTAACTTGGACTAAGTGATAGATACATCCCTTAGAAAGTAACTTCCTCGCCTTAATGTACGAAATGAAATGAACCTTAGAGATTGTTGAACTACTAGCCCACTCTATGACTGGCTCATTAGGAATTTGAAACTTGACAACTATTGTTCTGTAATCTATTGATGCATAACAGGCATGAAGCCAATCCATACCAAGAATGAAATGAAAACCTACCATGTCTAACTCTATTAAATCAACCATGGTACTATTGTGACTCACGAAAATAGGACAATCATGATAGACTCTTTTTGTTATAATGGATTCACAAACGGGTGTGGATACACTGAATGGTTCGCTAAGTTGCTCAGGAGAAATCTCAAAGGTAACATTAGCATACGGAGTTACAAAAGATAAACTTGCTCCTAAGTCGAATAATGCATAAGCATTAAGTCAAAGTCTTGAATCATACCAGTGACAACATTTGACAAATTCTCTTGTTCATGGTGATTATTAAGAGCATACAAGAGGTTCATTCCTACGCCTGTACCAGAAGCAACTCCCCTAGGTACAGCCTATTTGGTGGAGCAACTGATAAATATTGAGCTATATTTCCCAGATTTCATCGCCAGGCTTGTCCTTGGGGCACTCTCTCATGAAGTGAACCTATTTACCACACTTTAAACAACCCGTGAAGCCTTCTCGATAGATTCCAGAGTGATTCCTACCACATTTTGTGCAGGTAGGAGGCTAAGTACCTCCTTACGCCACACTACCTTGAGACTGAGCTAGCCTACCCTTAAAGTGCTGCAAATTCTGGCCACTATACTAACTTTGGTTTCTTGATGTAGGTGCACTAAAAGATTATGGTGCATGCCCCTTTGGTTTCTGGAATTGTGGTCGGCTTGAACCACTTTTCTGTCGGCTAGACTTGTTTCTGATCTTGACCTTCTTATTTTGATACTCTTCTCTATCCTTTACCTTGTTTTGTTCAACTTGTTGAACATATACCATCAACTTAGATATGTCCATGTAACCTATGAATATGGAAGACCTACCTTACTTACTTGAAGTTCGACCCAATCCTGCAACAAATAGACTCTTTCTGTTCCTCATGTCTTTCAACAACTTGGGAGTATAGCGAGATAGTTGCGTGAACTTCATCCCATACTCTTGCACACTCATGTAGTCCTGTTTCAGATTAAGGAACTACCTCACTTTGGCTTTCTTTAGTTCGCGAGGAAAGAACATCCCTAAGAAGGCTTCTTCGAATGAAGCCCAACTAGGATGTGGTACATCCTCAACTCTACCATCCTTCCATTGATCAAACCAGGTTCATGCCACACCCTTTAGTTGATACACAACCAATTCAACTTTCTCAACATCCACCACATGCATTACATTAAACACCTTCTTTAAATCCTCCACAAAGTTCTCTGGATCATCCGTAGGGCTTGATCCACTGAAACTAGGAAGGTTCATTCTCTGAAACTTACAAACTCTCGAGGTATCAGATCCTTCTTATTGAGCTGCTCTCTGTTGCCCAACCTGATTTTTCACAACCTAACTTAGCATTCTGATAGCTTCCCGGAATTCAGCATTGGTAACCTCTCATTGGGGTTGCACCTCTGGTGCATTTGGAACCTCTTGTTCCTCAACATTCCTTCGTGGTCGACCTCTGAATGCTCTTCTCAGAGTCATGATGGTAAGAAAAATAAGTGTAAGCACAAATTAGAGAGAGACTTTAGAGATAAACTCTTTGAACAAAAGGAAAATGAATGAAGGGAAACAAATCCTCCTAATCATATATGTGGTGCACTTCACACCGATGATTAAGACTCTAAAGACACGACTTCATAGACTCCCTAGGACTCTTAAACTTTATTCTTTGATACAAAGTTTGTCACACCCTGAGCCTATACTCTGGATAGACTGGCACTCGAAGACCATTGCTGGACCTCAAGCGAACCCTTGACCTAGCTTACTTAACTCAGAGAAACACTAAAATCAAATTACACAAGAAAAAAGACATGTTTAAATGAAAATACTTCAAATAATATCTGGTTATGATGGCACTCAAGTCTCAACAAGAAACAATAGCTAAACTGAAGTACTAGATCTACAAAGCCTCTAAACTCAGTATATAGGGATGTTGGGACAGACCCCACAACATCCAAAAACTAAACTACTAAAACAAAAGAAATGTATGTCCTCCACAATTCAAGGAGGATCACCACTAACTCTAGAGCTCGATCTGGATCAACGAAATGCCGGGTGTTGATCCTTGCTACCTGCGTCTGCATCATAAAATGATGCATGCCAACTAACATTAGTATGTTGAATATACGAAAATGCGATTTGGAAAGCTAAACAAAACATAGGCTTGAAAGGGAGTAAGAATGAATACTTACCTTATCTCTGCTCAACTCAGGATCAACTAACTCATTATTCAATATATGTAGTTAAAATAAATGCAATATAAAGAAATATTGAGTGAAACATGCTTAAACCTCTCTCTCTCTCTCTGTGTATATATATATATATATATATATATATATATATATATATAATGTATGAGATGTATATAAGATACAGTAGTGCTGTATATAAAAATACAATGACTGATGTATGTAAAAAATATATTTTTCTTTGAGAGATTCTCTAACCGACAACCATCACTTAAGAGGCATAATGATGATACAAAAAATCACCGCATGCTGCATCCTATGCCCGACCAAAGATACATGACCTGAACTGCCTAATGGATCCACTAGTATACTATGAAAAGGAATCATCTAAAAAGTATGACCCTAATCTAGCCATGGTGTCTAACATGGTTTATGGGGGCTGTGAGTTATCTGAACTATCCCTCATATCAGTGCTCAATTCTACTCCCAAAAATATATTGGCTCTTATGTTTAAAAACATACTGATTTTGTGGTTTGAGATTAGTGCTCAAAACTTAGCTTTTAAAACCTCTCTTGGAAATCATAGTTTCCACTTCCTTCTATTAAAACTAGCCATAGGCTTGTTGAAGTCTAGATTCCCTCCTTCTCAAAAGTTTTAAACATTTTATTTGAACTCTTAGAGACTACTTAGTTCTCTTATAACTCTTGAGAAGTGAACTCAACTTGATACTCTTTGCTTACTTGGAACTGAATCTTAAGGAATACTTAGTTCCCTTATAGATTTTGAGAAACGAACTCAACTCTTTACTCTTTCTTGACTTGAACAAAGTGAAATTTTTTATGAAAGACTTTATAAAATTTGATAACTTTGACTCGCTTCATAACTTCTAGACTTGGCTCTTAACTTCCTTAACTTTCATCCGAACTTTCCTTGAATTGGATTATGGATTTAAGGATCATGATCTCATGTTTATGGATGATTTCATGATGTTTAGATGTACTCTATAGTGTTGGAATAAACTAGGAATTAAGGGTACATCACTTAGGAGTTAGTACGAAAAGATAAGTAAAGAACGGGGTCTCCAGGGTTCTTGGCGCTCTAAGAGGCGTGAAGCGCCTTAGCTCGACGGACAGAGGCTTTCCTCAAGCACGGCTCGCCAGATCCTTACAAATAAACTCTGTCTTGTGGAGCTTTGGATTCACGGACCGAACATTTATCCAATGGGTTTTTGGACTTTCTTTTTCATTTTTCATCTCTGAATCTTCCTAATCTCCCATGGTTTCAACCCCAAACACTTAGGATCCCCAATTAACTTAATACCCAATAATTTAGACCCAAAAAAAGTCTAAAAACATGGATTACAACTAACAACGATCAACAACAATTCAATCAACAAGAACTTCAAACGTTTCATCAAAAGATTCAAGATTTCCTTTCAATTTAACTCTAATTGCTGTAGTGAATCAAGTTAGAGGGTGGGTGAAAGAACCCATCACCGAATGATCTCATATACCTTGTAAGGTATCACCCCTGACGAAATCCACAAAGCTAAAACTTTCCGTTCCTGTGTCTTCTTCTTCTTTCTCCTATTTTCTCTTTTCCTTCAAAGCCCTAGTCCATTTTTCCTAAGCGCTTAAAATGAATGAGATCCATTTTGACCCCAACATATTATCCCCAAACAAAATTAATTAATGACTTTAGGAAAAGACCAAATCACCCTTAACAAATTCGGATTTGGAACTTGCCTTACTCAACTGTCCATCTTATGAAGGTCATACCTCACTCATACGACCTATACTTGCAAACTCGACGACGTTGGAAGGATATTTTGACGAGCTTTCCATACATATAAAGAACTCACCTAAATCTTCCTAAGATGAGAGCTTTGGCCTTTGAAAATGACCAAAACTTACTTTTCAAATCTGGAAATTTTCCAGATTTCCTTACTTATTTCCAAATTTGATTCTTCTTGTTTTTCTTAGATTAAGCACATCTAATTTAAGAAACGAGATGTAACACATTCCTCCTAGATGGACGACGTCTTGCTACTTTTTGTGGAGGCATAGTTATTTGATACACGCGCAAGCACAAATCAGAGAGAAATTTTTAGAGAGAAACTCTAACGCATGAAAAGAGTGTGAAAGAAGTGAAGAAATTTCTACATGTAGTAGCCTTCTAATTATAGATATGGTGTGCTTCACACTGATAATTATGACTAAACATACACGACTTCATAGACCCCCTAGGACTCTTGATCTCTGTGCTCTGATACCAAGTTTGTCACTCCCCGATCCTACACCCTGGGAGTGGCTAGCAATCGATGACCATTGTGGCCTCGAGTGGATCCTTGGTCCTACTTACTTAACTCAACGAAAGAAAAAAGTCATAAACTTAACTTAACTGAAGACAATGTAAATACTTAGAGTGTTTTTAAAACTAAAACACTCAAATTTGTCCAAAACTGGCAACCCAAGTCTTATTAATAAGTAATAATACTTAAAGACCAAGGACTAAAATATGATTGTCTATCTATGAAGCCTCTAGTACTGAGCTGGATGTTGAGAAAAACCCCACAACATCTTAATGAATAAAATAGAAAGTAATTAAAAGAGTCCTCCGAAATGCAAGGATGCTCACCACTGACTCTAGAGTGCTCATCTGGATCAACAGTGTCGCTGGATGCCGATCCTCGTTACTTGCGCCTGCATAATTATATGATGCATACCAAGTGGCATCAATACATTGAATGTACAAGTATGTAAGTTGGAATAACAAACAAAATAGGATTGATTGGGAAATCTGAAAAACTTACCTGGTTCAACGAAACTCAACATACTGGACTTACTTCAATATAAAGCAATTTAAAATAAGTTCAATATAAAGAAAAATTGTCTAAAACATGTTGTAAACTCTGTGTGTATATAAAGATACAATTAACTCTTAGATGTATGTAAAATATAATTAAATTGTTTCAACCATTCTATATCTTGCTCACGAATCGGTATCATGATTGCATGAGAATCACATCAAATATATGTATCTTGTATGATTCACATATATTTGAGATATATAGACAAATCTTACTCGCCACCTTCATGTTCTTGCTTGTCTCTCCATATTTCAGTATATAGCAAAAATATGTATCTTGGTGTATCTACTTAAAGTCTGATATGAAATTATTAATTAGTGAGAAAAAATATAATAATTTGTTATAGACAATTAATAAATATGGTAGAAAAGTTGTGTAATTAGATAGTTTCTTCCTTTTAATTTTATAAATCAGTTAGGCTTAAAGCAAACGACTGATATGAATACCTTTTATTATTTAGAACTATTTCAATCACGTAAACTGTAAAAAAATGATAAGAAATGACCATTCGGTTATTTTTGTTACAAAACTTTAGCTAAAATTTGGAAAAAGCACAAGTACCTCCTACATTATGATCGTTATCCCAAAGATACACCTTAACTAAAATAAGGTCCTATTACCCGAACCTCAAACTCATTTGTTTTGGAATTTGATACACCTTTTAGATTACGTGACACACTCCATGTACACGCAATTGAGATATGTTGGAGATGATTGGATGACACATAGACTGAAAAGGTGTACAAAATTATAAAAAATGGGCTCAGGGATATTAGGAACTTAGTTTAGTTAACACGTGTCTATGAGATTTTGGTCATAATCTAGGTAGTGCTAGTACCTTATCTCGGCAAAATTGCAAAATTACTAAAATTGACCAAACCTTTTAGTATTCTTATTCTTCCTTCCATATTCGACATTAATAATTTTTGTCTTCTAGTCGTTTTTACTTTTCTATAAAATTTAATGTACAGTAAAGGTGAATCGTTTTGAGCGAATTATATATCAAAAGACATGAAACATCGAGAGGATTTCATATCTAAAATTTGAGATTATTTAGAGGTAAATTTGAGTGTATCGAGATTGAATAGTCAATATATACTTCATATATAGTCATTGTATACATTTTATATAGTTAAACCATATTTTTGGTGTGTGTATCATAATGTATACTCAGTGCATAACTCATATATAGGTACGATATATTATATAGTCAGTACATACTTTACATGACTTTTAGCAAACTACATTATATAATCAATAAATATGTTGAATATTTTTTTTAAAATTATATAACTATATTTATTGTAAACTAATTACTAATTTATTATATATAATTGAAACTTATATTCCTAAATATAAGGCCAAAATTAAACATTTATCTTAAATTAAATGTCATTTCAGTTATTTTGTGAAAAGGTTCACATAAGGACAATGGAATTAACTCACATTCTACGCACACTCTTCATTTACTTAATGCCAAAAAATATTTGAAAAAGCATAAGCCGTCATTGGAGGGTTAAACAGACAATTGCTTCTTTCTTTTAAGCTACATAGTTCATCAACCTCCTATTTTGATTGTAGATTCCTACCTCTTGCTGAATTTGATGGATTCGAGTATGGTTTTTTACTCATCGACATTACTTGTTGATCTATTGAACATTGCCCTGTTTTTTTTAAAAAAAGACGAAAGACTATTCTTATTTGAGATGTGGATGAAGTTCTAATTTTTTGCCCCGGTGAATTGGTCCATGAGAGGACCCTTTTTAAGTTTTAATTCTGTATATAATTAATATATGGGGATAAAAAACATGATTTTTTCTATTTGTTTTTGTATCCTCAATTTTGTTTGGATGAAATTATGTTTAGTTTTTTTTTTTTGCGTGTGTTTGTGTGGAGGAATGCATGCTTTTGCTAATAGATTTTATATATAAGGGACTTTGTCCATGATATTTGAGATAATTTTTTGTATAATCACTTTTTTCACTCCTAATCAATCACAGCAACTCAAAAACAATCAATTCTAATTTATATTCACAATAAAATACAACCCCGTTTTCAATCATAATTCACTTTTTTTGATAGTGAATAGTGATTATTAAGGATTGGAGTTGTGTTTGGTTATAAATATAAATTGGAGTTAATTGTTTTTGAGTTTTTATGAGTGATTTGAAGTGAAAAAGTGAAAGCAACTTGAATTTTATGGCCAATCGTGTTTTTTTTGGGAGTGTTTCTTCCCTGCCACTAAGAAAGAAAATAAGTTAAGTTATTCATGAATTTTTAAATGATGTTATTGAATGAAATAAGATATAAAGTTTCTTTTCTTGTAAAATCTAAGGTATGAAATTTGTAGAATCATGTAACTATTGGAAAGAATGATGCATATATGTTTTTTTGGAACTTATTTATTCCCTTTTATTTTTCTTTTGGTTGCTATTTATTGAGAAAATGAGTATTAGAACGTCAAAATTTGATACATATGTTGCTTGTAACTAGTCAGAATGGATAACAGTGATGTACAGATGGTGGATGCCGAAAAGAATTCCGTGCTAGTGATGTCCTAGTGTCAAATGAATCCTCGGTAAAGTACAAAAATGGTGCTAAGACAGAAGACTTGATTGACATAAGAAATACCGAGGACAAGACAATGATAAGAGTGATTCAAAGAGATAGGACTTGAAGAATGATAGAAGTGAGGTAGAGGATAAGCTCAACAATGCTTATCCCAATCAAGAATTCGGTCTAAACACAATTTGCATACTTGACCGATGACTCATTGGACATTAGGACATCACTAGTAAGGATATATTTTTTGACATCCACCATCTCTACATCACCCATATCCATTCTGACAACTAGTTACAAATAACATATCATATATATCAAATTTCAGCAATCTAATACTCATCTCCTCAAGAAAGAGCACCTGAAAGAAAAAGGAAAGGGAAGAAATAACTTCCAAAAAAACTGATATGCATTACTCGTTGCACTAGTTATATGATTCTCTACAAATTTCATACCTTTATTTCAACTTCAATTTTCACAAGACAAGAAACTTTATATATTATTTCATTCTATAACTTTATTTCAAAATTCATAAATAACTTAACCTTTTTCTTCCTTTGACACTGATATCAATGGCAAAAAAGGAAAGACTCCGAATAACAAAAATGAATTGCCATAAAATTCAAGTTGATTTAACTTTTTGTCATTCCAAATCACTAAAAAAAAACTCAAAAATAACTCGAATTTTCAATTATCATTATTCGAAGTTTGGTGTTTGGTTGAATATCAGAGTTGTGTTTGGTTGTGAATATAAATTGTGGTTAATTGTTTTTGAGTTTTTGCGAGTGATTTGGAGTAAAAAAAGTTTTTCAAATTCTCTCAATTTTCATGGACAATCTCCCTTATATATAAATCTATTAGCAGAAGCATGCATTCCCCCACACAAACACACAAAAATCCCTAACTTTAGTTTCATCAAAACAGAATTAAGGATACAAAAACAAACAGAAATCTTGTTTTCATCCTTGATGTTAACTCTGAAAAGAATGAAGACTAAAAGAGGTCCTCCAAAAAATCAATTCACCATAAAAAATATCAAAACTTCATACATATCAAATTTGTTTAGTTTTTTCATTTGTTTTAAAAAATAGAGCAAAATTAAAATAGATAAACAAGTAATGACGATGAGTAGAAAAACATACAGGAATCCAAATCGGAAGTTAACAAAAAGGGAAACTATCATGAGATTAACCCTCCAATGACGACTTTTGCTTCTTCAAATATTTTTTTACGCTAAGCAAATGAAGAGTGTGAGTAGGATACGAGTTAATTCCTCTATCTTTATGTGAGACTTTTTGAGAAATTCACTAAAAAAAACACTTAATTTAAGAGTAGTGTTTCATTTGGTCTTATATTTTAGAAATAATTTCAATTATATATAACATAAGTTAGTAATAGTTTACAAATGGATATACTTATATAATTAAAAAGAATATTCAATATATACATTGACTATATGCTATAGTTTGCTAAAAGTTATATAAAGTATAAGAAAAAGGCTAAAAATACCCCTAAACTATCGGAAATGGTTCAAAATTGCCATAAACTTTATTGTGGTTCAAAATTACCCTTCCCGTCAAAGTATTGAGTCATACTTACCTCTTTTAATTAACATAAGTAGGTTAAGTTCCACCTAAAATCCATATGGATGCCACATAAGCGCCAAAGATTTTCCACTTCCATGCAGACTAATAAGATCCCTAATATCTAATCTCCCCCTCATTTCTCTTAAGATTCGATTTCAGCCATTTCCCCTTATTTTCGCGCGTAGGGTAAGAAATGATTCACATATTTCTTCACTTTGCGCTTGGGTTTTGAAGTTGATTTTGTGGCTGGCTTTTAAAGTGGATCTTCTCGGCCATAGGTTAGAAACTATTTTTTCTTATTTTATTATGTTTACGATTCAAAGTTGTGGATGAATCCATAATTGGTGATGAATTGATGGATTAAAAGGGTAAATCTGATCTATTTATGATAGTCTTAGGGTATTTTTGATCCTTTCTATAAAGTATATACTGACTATATAATATAGCTTACCTATATATGAATTATAAATTGACTATATATTACGATACGCTGAAAAACTAAATATACTTTAATTATATATGAAGTATACATTGCTTATTCAATGTAGATCAACTCTAATTATCTCTAAATAGTCTCAAATATATAATTTACTCGAAAAGATTCACGTTTGCAGTACCTTAAATTTTAAAGAAACGGATAAAAAATTAGGAAGACGCATGAAATGAAAAAAGAGGAGGAGGCGGAAGAAAGAAGGAAAATATGTTATTCATGGCGAAACTGGAAGGACGAAGAAAAAAAGAGTCAGAGGTCTGGCCAATTTTAGGAATTTTGAAATTTTAGCGGGATAAGATACAAGTAAACCCTAGACTATAATCGAAATCTCATAGACACGCCTTAACTAAAGTAAAATCCTATTAACCCTCCACCCCTTTCACCCTAGGAGCTGCGGGCAATTCAAAGTTGTTGGTACACTTGATGGACTCCACAAAAGAAAAACACAAGCAGGGCTTAGTACAGGAAAACATGTACTAAGTAGATATCATCGGCCGACTCAAAATAGTAACTATTATGCATAAAGTAATAGTATAAAATCAACTATATCACTTGGCGGGTGATAAACTAAAACTGGAATGAACATGTGACAAATGAAGCAAGTACGTAATCAATGACTATATCAAAAGAACACATGAGCACTCATCCCTCCACACCATACTATTTTGGGAAATGGGTTCTTTAAGATCGACAACATTCAGTTGATTCAATATGTTTCCTCTTTATTATTATCGTGTCAAAACGTGACACTGCAATCCAATAATACCATGTCAAAACGTGACACCCTGATCAAATAAAACTTTGTCAAAATGTGAAACCCTAATCAAATAATATTGTATCTGAACGTGACACCCCGATATAATAATACCATGTCACAACGTGACATCCTCATCCAATAATACCATGTCGGAACGTGACACCTTGATCCAAAATAATATTGTTAATTTATCACCTATTATCACCACTGTTCAATTCCTTAACAATATTTCATCATGTCTTCTTTAGTCAAGGAATTACTTCGATAGAGAGGGTTCAATATTATAAATTTCATGGTCTCTGAATTCCATACCATTCACAAAGAACACATAGATTATCCAAGACACACAACCAAGTCACACAATCACACAATAAAGTACATATAGAACTTCACATTATTAATCAATGCACATTAATCACTATTACTGTATGCATAATAGTTACTATTTTGAGTCGGCCGATGATAAATCATGTGTTGCAAATTGTGCCTATTTACCCTTTATCTGCACTTAGCCCTCTGAAATGTGTTTGTTATGATATTCATAGGATTTTTGTTAAATTATTTTGGAACTTTAAGGAGGATGGCAGCTACTCACTCGAGTGCTTGGGATGATATCTATGTTCCAAAGTGTGAGGGAGGTTTGGGGTTTAGATCTTTATTTGATGTGTCCAAATACTTTTCGCAAAACTTTAGCGGAAGTTTAGGACTTCTTATTATTTATGGGCTAATTTCAGTGGAACAAATATTGTAAGAGACATAGATCTCAAGTAGTTTAATGGAATAGTGGTTCACAGGTATGGAAGGTTGTGCTTCAAGCTACACATTATTTTGATCAAGAAATTTGGTAGGAACCAAGAGAAGGTCATGATAGTGTTTAGTTTGATAATTGATCACAATTGGGAGCTCTGTAGTATATCTTACCTATTCACATGATTATGGACTGGTTGAAACAATATAATGAGGTATTAGCTTCTATATTAAATAAGGAGGTTTGTAGGCACATTAAAAATGTTATGGGAGATATGCCTTTTGCAGAGGGCAGATATAAGCTTGATGGATACCTAGTGGTACTGGGAAATTTAAAATTGGGTCTGCTTAGGAGCTGCAAGGTGAGGAAAGATCCTATAGATCTAATCTTTAACATTTGGGAAAAGGCATACCTTTTAAGGTGTCTTTCCTTTTGTGGAGAATGCGGTTCAGAAGAATTCCTATAGGAGAGGTTTTGATTTAAAGGGGCATAACTTATTCTATGGAGTGTTGTTGTAGTGATAATATATAAGAAACATTTATGCATTTGTTTATTCTCTATTATGATTCATATAAGGTGTGGATGTTTGTTTATGAAAGTTGCAGGTTTGCATTTTCCAGTTGTTCAGCTTAGGCAAGTTTTAGTGGATTGGTGGAAAGCTGACTGTTCTACAAAACTGAATTAAGTTTTTAAAGTAGTTCTTGCATTTATTAGATAGAGCATACGGAAAAGAAGAAACTTGATCAAGCATTGGGAAAAATGAGTAAGCTAGATTTCATGTTGGATATTCAAAGAATCATATATTTATTTGTGAAATATTGATATCCTTGTTTGAAAGAGATGACTAAGACTTGGCCCCTATTTGTGAAGTTGCTAGAGGGGTGTTCACCACTGATCAACTACAAGGTTGTTAGATGGATTCGTCCTTCAAGTGGAACTTATAAATGCAACACTAATGGGCCAGGGATAGATTCTTTTGCCTTCTGTGTAAAAAATGAAGAAGGTTACTTCCTTTATGCTGAGACCAGGGCAATAAAAGATGTTTTAGTTATTGAGTCTGAAATTAAAGCTTTCAATAATGGTCCTAGATTATTGTTTGCATAATAATCAAGTTTCGCTGATTGTAATTGAGACAGACTCTCTATTGGCTCAATAAGTATTAAATGGAAATTGGGAGGTTCCATGGTTGATGGCTTGGGACGTTAGGTACATACAAAGCAGAATGATTAGTAAGGAGGTGGATATATAACATACATTCAAGGAAGGGTCTCCCTAGCAGACTTTTTTAACAAATCATATTGTTAATTTTGCATGTATAAATAGGCAACAATTTCACAATTTGCAGGAGATTCCATAAAGGCTAAAGGAATTGTGGAATGAGAAGAATAAAAAATTCCTAATTTGCAGATGATAAAAGTTCAAAATAAGGACTACATGATACAATAGGGAGACATAGAGTTAAGTAAATGTATCAACAACAATGAATTGGGTAACAAATTGAGTTGATATGCAAGAACTAGAACAGTGAAATATTTAGTAGACTTCGGAATAAAACTTGTTTTTTGTTATCTTGAGCAGTGGTATCAACTCCTTTAGTGGTTCAACTTGTTAGGACAATAAATTAGAGGTCAGAACTAAAGAAAACTAAATGCCAATCGAAGGGATGGAAGACTTATTTTGACTAAGCTCGATTTAGCTTGGATGAAGTTTGGGCAGATCTCGAGACCGTAAATTTGAGGCCATTTCAAAGGACAATGAACTGAAAATCTCTAGAACATCTCGTATCTCTATTGAAATTTAGATCTACACTAAAATTGAATAAGTTTTTATTGGTTCGAATCACAGCGTCAGTGAGAATTTTGGCTATAAAATGATTTCACACCAAATTTGTGTGTCGTGTAGATTGCAGTTTGTGCTGTTGAGAGATGAATGGAGATCTGTAAGCTGGATTCCAATCAGGAGAAGATGGGTCAATTAGGGGAAGAGATCAGAGTAGTTGAAATAGAGTTCTTCCTTTTTAAGCTTTGCATATTTGTTTTGCTTTATTTTATCTTTTTCTCGTTAAATGCAGATCACTTTTTTTCTGTTGTTTATACTTTTATTTTACCAAATAAATGACCCTTTATCGGGTTGCATTTTAAAAAAACTCACGTAATTCTTTTAATCAATTTCCTATAGTTCAAACCTAAGAGTAAGTCATAATTCCTACAATTAACATAACTTCAATGGAATTTAAATAAATCCATACACATAATATTTAATTATTTATCTCCATATATCAAAATATTTATTTTTAATATGAAAATTTAGTTAATTTAAAAAGTCAAACTGACTATTTTGAGAGACCAATTACTCGTACAAGAAACCAATTGCAAAACTATAATCCAATTGCACCGCTAAATGTTGAACTCCCATTTTCTTTAAACCCACAAATACCAGATAAAATATTAACTCCTCGTGCATATATTTCTCAATCAAAATACAAACCTTGCTTTTGTAATTGAACTTTGCAACTTCTTTCTCCCAGCACATCATTAAATAAAATGAATGACCAACCTTTTAACATTTAACTTTTGCTCTAACTCAAACTTCTTAATGAAACCCACTATAGTGTATATGAGGAATTTCCAATTCCAACCTCTTCTCAATTTGATTTTTCTTCCCCAATCAATAACACTGCAACATACTAAATATTACCTAAAGAAATCAAAGAGTTTGAAGCATTACCTGGATAGTAGTCCCTTCTAGTTGACGTCGCAGGTAGTGTTTCTCTTGCCTGATCTTTTAAATTATCTAGTGTAACTAATTATGAACTAATAAATATTAAATCTTACTAATTTTAATGTTATCTTCCTTAACCACCAACTAATTAATTATTAAAAACTACCAACTAATTTTATAAAGTAGTTACAAATAGTCCAAAATATTCAATTAGAATCTAGCGAAAGTATCTTATGAAATAAAAAGGGAAAATACCCAAGTACCCCCTCAACCTATGCCCGAAATCTCAGAGACACACTTATACTATACTAAGGTCCTATTACACCCCCTGAACTTATTTTATATGTACTTTTCTACCCCTTTTTAGCCTACGTGGCACTAGTTCAAAAAAAAAGTCAACCATCGTTGGGCCCACAAGATAGTGCCACGTAAGCTAAAAAGGGGTAAAAAATTATTAATAAAATAAGTTCTGGGGGGTAATAGGACCTTAGTATAATATAAGTGTGTCTATGAGATTTCGGGCATAGGTTGAGGGGGTACTTGGGCATTATCCCAAATAAAAATCTCTAGTACTCAAAACGATCAAATGCATTGTTACAATAATGTAGGAGGTACTTGTGCCCTTCCCTATATTTTAACTGAAATTTGGTTAACGGAAATAAATGAATGGTTATTTCGTATTGTTTCTTCTATATTCTATTTGATTGAAATGATCCTAAATAATAAAAGGTGTTCATTTTCAGTTGTTGGTCCTAAACCTAACATATTTAAAAAATAAAAAGAGAGAAACTATCTAATTGCACAATATTCATACCGTATTTATTAATTTTCTTTATAGTTTGAAATTATTATGTTTTGTCTCACTAATTATTAATTTCATATCAAATTTTAAGTAGATACACCTAGATACATATTTGTGCTACCACATATACTAAAATAGGGAGAGAGACAAGCAAGAACAAGAAGGAGGCAAGTGAGATTTGTCTATATATCACAAATACATGTGAATAACACTAGATACATATATTCGTATTGATTCACATGTAATTTGAATACCGAAACGGGAGAGAGATAGAGAATGGCGAGTGATATGTGAAGGTTATACTCGATATAAGTGAATTAACTTGGATACATTGTATCTTGTAATGACCCAATAAGTTATTTTTGGGAATTTTGAACTATTTGCTTTACTTGACATAATTAATTGATGGGTAATTGACTTAATCAATAGTTAACGAGCTAAAATGATTATTTAATGACACCTTATCCTATTTTACCCTTATATAATAAAATAAGTGTGTAAAATTTATCAATTTAAGTACAAATTAATTCAAAAAATAAATAAACAAAATAAAGATGGAACAGACGAAAGGTTAAGGTATCTCGCCGATTACGAATTGCTTCAGGTAAAATTTTGACCGAAGTTCCAATCTTTCTACGCATGCTATTGCATTAACTGGTCTTTATAATGCCTAGGCTTTCATTAAATGCTACCTATACATGCATACAATTGAAAAAGGGAGTTGTTGGATGAACAAATTGGCAGATCCTATAAATTAATATTATTATATTAATATATTTGTTGTATTATATTGAAAATGGGAATACAGAAGGCTTATGATGTGCGCATTGTTCTGGCGGTTTTGAAAATGTGAGGGACAAGATGCAGTGCTAAGTTTATAATTATTATTATATTTCTTTATGATTGGTCATCAAATTTCGGATGCTAAGTGAGATATATTTGTGGTTGAAATTAAAGAAGAAAGTGAAATATAATAAAATAAAATCAATGAATTAAAAGTATTGAATGAGAAAATATGCATATTGATGTACGTTGTACAGTGAGTATACATTCTAGAAATTTAAGGCATTGGTGTTTAATGTATGTTTGCTAAATGGTGCGCCAATGATTGGCCATAATGAGCCAATCATTAGTTGGAAGAAGGGTGTTGAAAAGAAGGATGTTCGAAGTCAATTGGATGTAATATTCATACTTTTTGTTATTATATTATGAATCAAGTTTTAATATATTGGTGTGTATATTTAAATATCAGATGAATAGTATTTTGTGAGTACCATTAAAATTATGATATTAAAAAAATGGGATTTAATTCTAGACTTTAAACTTTGAAAATATGATAGTTGGCATCAAGAATTACGAAATTGGTCATAAATTTTGTTGTATTTTGAGGTCAACGTTAAGCACATAATAATGTGGGTGTTGTTAGTTCCGACATAATATTGTGAATATATACTTGGATAGATTCTATCGATTCGAAGCTCAACGGAAAGGAATAATCAAGTCTAAGAGTGATTATTCGATCAGATGAGGCAAGTGGATTTATAAACCCTTTTTAAGCGTATGGAATTAGTGTATTCCCTTGTGTGTGATGTTTGAGAATGATCTAGAGGATTATTGCTTATTTGTTGGTGTTTTATCACAATTGCATCGTTGAAAATTGTGTCTTGTTATCAAAATGATTATCTCCTTATTTTTTTTGAGTATATCATTTGCATTGATTTGAGACATGGTTGTGATAGGTGTTATGTGATAAGAGGATGTACCATTTTGAGGGTCGTATCGCGCGCTGCAATGGATATTTTATTTTTGAGGGACATATCGCACGCTGTGATTGTTACTATTATTGAGTGTCGTATCGCACGCCGCGATGGATGCATGAACCTGGGTCCTAGACTTAGAGAAAATAGGTGTGTATCATTAGGTTAGATATGCATCACTGTATTTGACATTGGATTCATGGCATTGCACATTTTAATCATCGATAAACTTGAACTTCTTTTGTGGTGATCTTGTGAGTGATTTTCGGTGAAAAATGTGACTGACTAATATTGAGTTGGTATTGAGCATTGTAATATGTTAAAGTGTTGTTATTGAGCTGGGTGATTGTAGACTGTTAGGTTTGGATGGTTTTATGCCAGTTGTAGTATGGAGGCTCGAACATGGTGTAAGGAGTACCCATATTTTGTTCTCTTATCTTGTGTTTAGAGGTTTATTTGTTGGGTACCGTGTGGTTTGGTACTCACCCTTGATTCTACAAATTTTTGTGGGCTACAAGCCCGGATCTTCGTGATACCTTCCATTCTTTTTTTTTCGAGGCATCTTGTGAAGAAATTGTAGGTAGTTGTTTGTCACCTCAGTGAACCTTCCCGCTCCAGTTTATGACTTTGATTTTACTTGAATGACAACTTCATTTTAGACTTGTATGTTTTATTTTAATTCTAGTATATACACTAAAGACTTGTGCATGTGAAAACCTGGTTTTAGGAATTGAATTAAGATAACTTGTTTTCATAATAGAAGCTGTTATTGGGCTTTGTTCATTTCTGCACTTTTTTAGATGTAGGTTTTTGGGCTGACTTGTCTTGGTGAGATAAGACAAGTGCTATCACACCCATTTTTGGGGCGTGAAAAAATGGTATCATACCCAGGTTTATAGGTATCACGTGTATAAAAGTCGAGTCTACATAAAGTCTCTACGATTAGTATGGAGATGTGTGTAAGTATATAAAGACTATTAAAAAACTTCCTTTTTGTTCATTCTTTATCATCGTTGTTCCCTTCTTTAGTATTGAGTATTGTTTACTCTTTTGACACACGACGAGGACTAGAGCTAATGTTACTAGTGGTATAAGGAAGGCACTTCCCAAGGCAGCTGTTGTGGCCCCAGCTAGGGGTAGGGGTAGAGCCTTAGATGCAGGTTGTGCTCATGGTACGAAACTAGCAAGAGGTCGTGGCTGTGGAGCAGCACCAGTGAGATGTCGTGCTAGAGAGGTCTCTCAAGAGCCTTGAATTTGATGACAAAGGGGACCAAGGTTCCTCTAGAGCCCATAGTCACACCTTTGCTTCAGGATACATTATTGAGGGTGTTAAATGTGCTTGATATATTTACTCAGGGTGTGGTGCGACCGCCTCAGTACATGACTCTCAGACTAGAAAGGGGGCTCAGACCAAAGAGCGGTAGGAAGCCCCAATTATTTAGGATACAGTGGGGAAGTTACCAATGGATCCTACGGTTGAGAATGATCTTGCATTAGCAGTTGGGGGTCAAGGTGCCCCATTGGTTGTTTTGATAGTGGACGAGTGATACGCTCAAATTACACCTCCCAAAAAAAGTATAAGCAGTCGTATCAAGTAAAGAACCCATCAAGTAGGTTGGGATCGATCCCACGAGGAAAATAGTTTAGACTTAACTTCAATATACAATTACTTCTATTTAGTCAAGTCGTTTCCGAAAATAGGTTATTTAAGGGGGGGGGGGGGTTGTGAAACAATAGTCTTTTAATATTGCTAAATCAAATAAGTAGCAAGAGTAAATCTTTAGTGTTTATTAAGTTGTGAGAGAAACTAGGGTATAAGTGTTCCTCATAGGTTCATAACGCCGTATCCCTAGCTATAACAATTATTCCCTAGTGTTTTGCATGCAAAGTGATATGTTACGTATGTGATGCACCGTGGTTTCACGGTACTTTCAATGCTTTTTCCTAAAGATTGGTGTATGTCTAGAGCCTTTTTGTAGTAATGTAATATGTTTTTGTCTTTATTTTGTAGGAAAGTTGTCCAAAACTAAAATTTAGAAGGCATTGAAGAATTAGTGCATAAGTGACCCACGAGGCCATCGATGGTATGTCGTCCTATCAATGGGCCGTAGGTAGTAATGTCGACTGGAGGTTCAGGAATCTAGAAGCAACTTGGGGAATTCATAGTAAGTGTGGGGCTACGGAAGGATCGAAGGTCTGTTGGCTGATCGACGGACCATCCTGGCAAAACTTCGATTTGATCAAAGAATATCCCATTACCTGGTGTTGAAGAAAAAGCTCAATATGGAAGACGAGAAGTATCAATGGACTGTAGGTGAATCGACGGACCATGCTGTTGGTCCGTCGATTGGATCAGAGAAGATACAAAGTGAAGGCTGAAAAATGATGCTAAGTATGGACCAACAGAGGCAGTTGACGGTCCGTCGTTGAAACAACGGACCGTCTGTGGAGGTCGTCGATTGAAGCCTCGTTTTGGACAAACTTCCCTTAATTTAACTCCTTTTAATTTAGGACTTTTTTATTATTATAA